GAAATGGCCGGAGAGTGGATGATCATGGAAATAGCGAAGGACTTGAAGGCGAAGATCGCCGTGATTAGGGACATAAATACGGTCGTCAAGGCGTAGTAGCTTGTCGCTACCTAAGCTCCAACGTTCATTGGAAGGATCTTTTGCAAGTTCCAAACCAACAACGGAGCTCGGATCGGCGGGAAGGGCGAGAATGATAGCTTGGTGTAGGGCTTCGATATCCATGATAATCGAGGCTCGTAAAACCGGGCCTTCCAGGAAGGTAGCTCGAAGGGACGCAGTGAGTTGTTCGTTAGTAAAGATAGGGCGAAAGTTATGAGGGTTCACTTGGGCGTAGCCGATATCCCCCTCTTTAGGGTAGACGTCCCAGCGTCTAGTTATCGAATCAGGTTTCTCGCCGAGTTTCCCCGGTCGGAAGCGAATGACCATATTAAATTGATGTAAGAATTCTGACCATCGGACTTGTCGGCGAGTAAGAACCTTGGTAGTAGAGAAATACTCAAGATTCTTGTGATCGGTGACGACGTCCACCGGATCACCCGAGCCTTCCAGATAATGACGCCAAGCTTTAAAGGCCTCGAAGATGGCCAGTAGCTCTTTGTCGTGGGTATCGTAGTTGAGTTCCGCCGCATGAAGCGTTCTGGAAAGGAAGGCTAGAGGATGAATTTCACCGTCAGCATATTGGATGGAAAGAATAGCCGCAATGGCGTAATCGGAAGCGTCGGTCTCCACGATAAGTGGGCGATTCGGCTCCCAATGGGCCAGTATTGGCGCAGAAGTGAAAGCGATTTTGAGATTTTCGAAGGCCTCTTGACAGCTGCTGTCCCAGATCCAGGAAGCGCCTTTTCGGGTAAGCCGAGTCATTGGCACAACGATATCACTGTAATTATAAATAAAACGACGATAGAAGTTTGCAAAACCCAGGAAGGACTGGATGTCCTTAACCTTCCTCGGGACCGGCCACTCTAGAACTGTCTGAACTTTCTCCTTGGACATAGTCAATCCGTCGGGAGAAAGAATATAACCCAAATACTCAACAGTATCCATATTGAATTCGCACTTGTCGGGGTTGGCGTAGAGCCGATGTTTCCGTAACCGCCGAAGAACTTCCTTAACGTGTTCTCGGTGTTCTTCTGGCGTATCAGAGTAGATCAGAATATCGTCAAGATAGACGATGACACAGACATCGAGCATGTCAGAGAAGATGTCATTAACAAACCGCTGGAAAGCCGCAGGGGCGTTCGTAAGGCCGAATGGCATGACCTTCCATTCGTAAGAGCCGTAGCGGGTCCGAAAGGTGGTTTTCCATTCGTCACCTTCAGCGATTCTGACTAGATGATAAGCGTGAGCGAGATCCAATTTGGTGTATATTTTAGCTCTTTTCGGAGCGTCGAGAAGATCTGAAATGAGTGGAAGTGGGTAACGATCCTTTTTGGTGATACGATTGAGTCCACGGAAATCGACGCAAAGGCGAAGTTTGCCGTCTTTCTTCGGGACAAAAAGGACCGGAGCGCCGTGAGGAGAGGATGATGGGGTAATGGCACCAGTAGCCAGCTGTTTGTCAATAAAGTCTTTAAGGGCGACTAGCTCCTTTTCAGACAAGGGATAAATACGGCCGAGAGGCGGCGAAGCGCCCTCTTCTAAGTCAATCTTCAGGTCGTAAGGTCTATGTTCAGGAAGTGAATCTGCAGCAATCTCGTCGAAGACGTCTGCAAACTCTGCGTACTCTTCTGGAATGGAAGGATGGAGTGGAGGGACAGTAGGAGTGGTGGAAGAGCGGTCGGCGGCACGGGCCGCGACCTCTGAGTGGATAGCACGAAGTAGAATGGGTTCCATACCCGCGTCCTTGCAAGCCCTGTTAAAGACTGCAGCACTGACGAGTGCAATGTCGACCTCAGGAGTTTCCAGTTGAGCAGCGAATTGAGAGACCGTAGGGTAAGAGTAGATGGGTTCAAAGGGGAATTTGGACGAAAGGGGCTTGGCCCGTAAAGTCCGAGAGCGGGAGCGAGAGCGAGGGCGAAGTGAGTCCCCAGGAGGGGTCTCCAGAATTGTCGGTGAAACCGACGGCGAAGGTTCCGGTAGCGGAACAGCGACCTTTGCAGCAACGGGGTTGATAGCAGAAGGCACAGACGTCTGTGGAGAATCAGGATGTGAAGTGTTACGGAACGTAATGTTTCGAGATGCCCAGTCAATCAACGGATTGTAGCGGGATAAGAAACTGTAACCTAGTACTGCTTTACAAGATGAATCTAAATGAGTAACATAAAATGGTAATAGAAGCAGCTCGCCGGAAGGGAACCGAACGGCGATATTCGCCATATCGGTAATGGGTTTAGAAGATAATGAACCATCAAAGAGACGAAGATTAACAGGAGAGATTTTGGTCGTAGGAATAGAATTTTGTGAAACATAACGAGTATCAATGAAAGAGTCAGTAGAACCAGAATCAACAAGAGTAGGAAATTTAAGAAGAGCAGAGATAGGTTCGGCCGGCGCGGCCGAATCGGATAAAGGAAATTCAGTAGTTAATGATATTACAAGAGATCGTTCAATGGAAGAAAGAGCGGACGCGTTGAGATATAACTCCCCAGGTGAGGTACGAACCTGATCAACGCAGCTCCCGTTTCGTACCGGGGAACAAGAGCTGCGGACTAGTTTTCCGATTCCTCTTCAACAACCTCAACGGTTGCTTCGGGGGTTTCTTCAACCTCTGCAGCACGGCCCTTCGATTCTCGGGCCTTTCGCTTGTTGCAGTCAGCAATCTGATGCTTACCACCGCAGAAGAGACAAAGGTTGTTCTTCATCCTTCTTTCCTTCTCGGAGGGAAGGACTTTCCCATCTGCACCAAGATGGTTGAACGCGGGGCGCTGGCCGCCGGATTGGCCGGAATTCGAAGAATTCTGGGGCTTACCATTGTTGTTAGGCTTACCACCAGAGAAGGGTTTGGGCTTCGGCGTGAACGGCGCCGAAGAGCCAGAAGGCTGAGAGTTGTTTTGCTGGTTAGTAGAACCAGTCTTAAAGTCCGAGGAACCCTTCTTCGGGTTCCGAGCAACAAAAGGCTTACCAGCCTCACGCTTTCTAGTTTCCTCGCGTTTCCAATAACGATTGTCAATACGAAGAACTTCTTGACGATAATCGGCGAGCGTCGCCGGCTCGGGCAAACGCGCCATTTCGTCCTTGATGCGCTCAGCTAAGCCTCGTCCATAAGCCCATTTCAGGGCAGCAGAATCCCAGTTGGTACTAGCAGCCAGGGTGTTGAACCGGATGTTGTATTTCCGGATGTTCTCGGTTTCCTTCATCTTCAGATTACCGAGAGAATCTTCGGCCTCGCCTTGGGCGTCGTAAACGCCGAAATTATCCTGAAGCTCCTTTACAAGGGCCTTAAAGGAGGATGTCCAGGCCGGCAGCGAGTCGAGATCCGGATCGAGAATATCAGGGACAAACCATTCTTTGGCTGACCCACTGAGATAAGAAAGGGTGTAGTTCACCTTCCGTTGGTCGGTGAAGTACTTTGGACGGTCATTAAAGACCAGGGCGAGATTGACGAAGAACGTCTTGAGTTTTCGGGGATCCGAACCGTCGAATACCTCTGGCTCCTTGACCTTGCTCTTGGATTCAGAGCTGTCAGAGGGACGGCCAAGAGCGGCGAGAACGGTACCAAGGGTCTCAATGGAACCCTTGAACCCCGAGAGGAGTTCCAACATAGCTCGTTGCTCGTTGGGGATGTCAGGAGATATGGGAGAACGAGGTCCACCAGGTCCACCAGGACCGCCGGGACCGCCGGGACCACCAGGACCACCAGGTCCACTGGGGTCACCAGGCTCACCACGCGGTAAACCGCCGGAATCATCATCCAGATCGTCATTGTTATTATCGGCGCCCGGATCGTCGGGGTCGACAGGAGGGTCTTGATCTTCGTGATCACCGGTGTCCAAATTGAAGTGAGGAGGTGGGTCACGAGGAGATTCAGAAGCAGCTCGACGTTGGGGTTGTTTACCCGTACGGCGGGCTATGGCTTGGAGGATTGGGGAATCAATTCGAGTAGTAGATCGGCCCCGAGCCGGAGCGACCACGGGGGGTTGTCCACGGCGAGGGGTCAGGACTTGGACAGGTTGTCCGTCACCAGTGTACAAGGTGCTGTATTCGAATTGTTGTTCCTCTTCCATAGCTTCAGGAAGAGTTGACGTAGTTGGGACTGTCGCTGGACCGAAACCGCGATTACGGCGACGTGGTTGACCGATGGCAGAGATAGAGTCGGAGAATGGGGCAAATGATTGGGCTGTAGTGAAGAAAGTATTTTCTTCGGAGTTAGCTCTAGATTGAGCTCGAGTTTTCGGAGGCATAAAAAATGATATGTCAGTACGACGTTAACGGATTGAGTTTAATTATACTGTTAAGATCATGTACACCGAGTAACCGTGCCAAAGCTACAAGGTGCCTAAGTGCGGAAGACGAGTGGGACAGTAGTGAAGTTATTAACAACACCGCCGTTACGCCGTTAGTCCCCGGAGAGCGAGAGTGGAGAGAGAGGAGCTAAGTAGCAGCCAGGTCGGAGCGGCGGTATCGCCGATGACAAGGAGCGGACCAGAGGACGTTAAAGTCCTAAGGTTCAAGGAGGACGTACTTCAAGGCGTTGAGCCAGAAGACTTAGAGAAGAGCTAAGTTGAGAAGGGAGATCTAAGTTGATAATTAAACTGAGGAACTACAGTAGCGTACAGGCAGTATTTATATCTACGGATCGGCGCAGCGGTGCGGAGCGCCAGACTAACTACTAGGAGCTATACGAGTAGTACCTGCAGGGTAAAGTAAAAGACAATAAGGAGAGACTAGAACGAAAGGGTAAAAGACAATAGTGAGAGACTAGAACGAAAGGGTATGTGTAGCGAGAAAGAACAATAAGAGTGAGATAACAATAAGAGCAGATCTTCGGAGTACCGAGCGGCGGAATGGAGGCCCGCGGCATGGACTTGACAATTGCATATCATACATACCTGATATGAAGCCTAGGCCGTTTGACGCTTTTTGGAGGACCTCCCACCACTGGTAATTGAGTCCATATCATCAACAATATACTTCCACAAACGGTTTGTGTTGCCTAAGTTGCAGGCAAGGAGTGTCCGCAACTTATCTGCACTGCCTATCAGATGTAAATCATCGAGACGGGTAAGCTCCTCATGTGCGAAGATAGTTGCAAACTGAATATAGTTATGATTATCCCTCCCCCGGTACTCATCACTATCCAACTTTGCCAACCAGTTGTTGACATGAGGAAATTCAGCAGGCTTTTGAGGTGAAGATGGAGGAGATGAGAAGGCTACAGGAACAGGATTGGGAGCAGGAATGTTCGAATAATGACCAGGATAAGTAGGAGTAGTGTAATATCCCAGAGGAGGTGGAGGCGGAGGCGGATAACCATAGCCCCAATGGGGAGGAGCACCATATGCAGTAGATGCCTGTCCCACTCCATATTTTCCTTGCTTGACTGCTTTCTCACCAATACCTTGAAGAATTACTTCGGGAGGTGTTTTGAGGACTGCTTCATGTTTACGCTAGAAACCAACATATAATGATGCTGGTAATCAACTAGAGGAACACTCACTACTAATCCAGCCCAGATTGAAAGATCTCCTGCAGTAAAAGCATAATGCGGACCATTGGTGGTCACATAGCATGCCTTTTTTGGATGCTCAGCACATAAGAAGTTCTTCACAATTTGCCTCATAATTAGAACCTCCTGCTCATCAGCGTTATTCTCGAGTGCTGGTCCTTCATTGTCGTGTGATTTTGCTTTACTACTCTGTGTCATCGGAGAGAAATTAGAGCCAGAATGGCCAAATGTGAATTAGCATTTGCATACCTTTTTCCCGTCACTCTCACCACCTGTATCTATAAGAATGACGCTAAATGCCTTCTTCTTCTTGGGCTTGCCGTGCTTTGTGTATTCGACCTTCATATACTCTTCCAATATGTCCACCATATCTTCGTATTGAGCATCTGTATCAACAAGTTTTGGCACAGGCTTGGGACTTCGGGGCCAGAACGAGGCAATGTAGCCTAATGCAGATAACTGTTGCAGAGGAATACCCATCTCAGAAGCGATTCTTTGACGGAAAACCGAGAAAGTTGTGTTGTTGTCAAGAACACAGTCGACACAAGCTTTCTTGCCAAGTGTGACCTCGTACTTGATGTCAAAAGTACCTGGGTCAGAATCAAGGTCTTCGTTGTCACTGTCACTTCTGATGAGTACAGCAGCTTTGCGTTTCAAATGAGACTTTTTTTGGGATACATTCATTGTTGCAGGAGTGGCATCCAGTCCTTCAGATAAATCGGAAGCCTCTGATAGACTTATATTTGAAAGGGAAGAAGCTTCTTTAGATTGAATGTCACTGGCAGAAATTGAAAGCGCAACTGCACACACACCTTTGGTGATCGTCTTTGGTTGGGTATGACGGTCAATTTCTCCATCAATCCAACTTTGCAATTGCTCCTCTTTCTCTCTTTCAAGAACTTCATTTGACTTTGGTGGATGAGACAGGTTCATAAGAAGCTCAGCTGCATTTGCATCGTCACCAGGCAACACGGTTGTTTTCTTTCCTCTGGATCTCCGAGTAAATGTAGGAACTGAAGGCTCTTCAGATGCAGCAGGGCCATGCCGTGATGAAGCGCGTTCTTCCCGAGACTGACGAGCTCTTTTGAGCCTTGCATTAGCCATAGGAAGAGGTTGTGAGATTAGGAAGGAAGCAACAGTCACAGGTCACCTGTATAAAGGTAACAACACAGTTCTTTGGCTGGCATGTCCTCCATATATCATAGAAGAATATATCTACATACTTTTTATAGCTACGAGGTGAAAAATACAGCCACCAAAATCCAAATGAGCTGGAAGAGCCCCAATAAACAATGGCAGCAAAAAAGTAGATATATGTATATCGAATTACATGGGGCCCTAGATACAGACCCTGGCATGAAATCACGGTAAAAATCGCGACAAATGGTGAAGAACTGAGCACGCTAGAGCTCTTATGAATCTAGCACCAAAAAAGTGTTTTGGGCGTGAATTCGCACAAGTCCAAACTATTTTGCAAACGGCAATAATGTGGCCTGCGCATGAAAGGCACGCAAACACAAAAATACCCATTCATACTCCAAAAAGAAAAATCAATAATTTCATTCAAGGATTTCAATATGAGGTTAATAATTAGTGCCGACAGAATGTTTATGAGCAGAAAGACCCAGTCTTGAAGCTCTGAAGGTCAATCCGGCTGTTTGATCCCATCTCAAGCCAAACATTGCCCCTCTGATCACCCCGACAGATAGCAGTTGTATGGCAGTTTGCCTCATGGACTTGCTGGTTCTTCCTTTGGGCAGTGCATTAGTTTTTGTTCAGTCTTCATTGCAAAACATGTCTTAGCTCTTGCTCATTCTCTTTGACCCACCAAAAAAGCCCCCCAGCAGTATACTGAGTGATTGAATATCGATGCTCTCCCTCCTGAATCGGGCAATTGTAATGTACAAGTAAAGCAGATGGCAGAAAAATTACACAACCTGGAGGAAACTCAATGACAAGCTGACCACCCAACCGGTGATTGAAGGGCCCAAGGGAGAGAACAGGGCACCAGCCATCTGGACGGTTGCGACCATCCACATGGGGGTTGGTCACAGACTGTGGCCCACAATTAACTGTAAGCAAAGACCAAACGGAGTTGGGGAAGTTGCAGCGAAGGTGCAGCTCTTTATCATGTAGCTCTTCTTGATGCAGGTGGTAGTCCTCGTACATTAAGGGGTTATATGTGTGGAGAATTTCTACCAAAACATACCTCAGAAGTAATTGGTTTACAATGTGAATAAAAACTTATGATTCATAACCCCGGAGGCATGCTGCATGGCTGGGTGTTCTAGCAGCACATCCATGAAGCTGTGTTCTGATTGCAAAAGTACATGGTTGCCTGGGAACTGGGTCATAATGGTTAACATAGGTAATGAAAGATTCAAGCCCCAATGACTTACTGACTCACCACCCCCATGGGATGGACCAGATGCTAGTGCAGCAAAACCATCACCCCATTTGTGATAAAGCTTTTCCTGTGAAAATTTGAGGTGGGGGGAGCTGGCAGCAATGGCCTCTGCTAACAGCTTGGCTACCTCAGATTGCCAGTGCATCTGTGGTGACCCCACAATGAGCACCACCATGCAGCCATGACAATCCACAATTGGTATGGCACCCGTGGTGGTCACCCCGTTCCCGTTGTTTTGACCCACGGCATTGGTGGGAATGTCCGGGGGATATGGGATGTAACGCCAGCCCGGTTGGCTGCAAAGCATCTGGGCATCACGTCGATCACAGGCAAGTACCTGGTTTTGGCCCCCAAAGCCTGTGGAGTTCACAGGGAGCATAGCGGCATCTAGATCCACCTGGATTGCTTGCGCATAGGTGTGAGCATGATGTTCGGCATGTACTGGCTTCGCAGCTGTTGGAAAGCAAGTGCTAAGTTCACGTTTGCGCTTCTGCCGCCCGTGAGAGCCAGGCTGGCAAGCATTCCGATGCGTGGCAGTGGAAGGTGAGGAGTTTTGAGGTGGGTGTAATGATGTGGTAGACTCAGATGCCATCTCCGGGAAAGCAGGGTGTTGGGATTGTGATAGTGATAGGCAGGCAGCACTGGCAAAATTCTGTTGGTGAGATTCGGAGGCAGGCACTGACGGGTGGGGTGAGGACACCCGGGGCCTTGGCAAAGGGGGCTGCGATCGGGCCTTGACATTGTCCGGGAGTTTTGTCAGGGTGCAAGCAGGTCGAATCTGCACCAATGGTGATTGGGGTGAAGGTCAGTAACTGCCACCCACATGAATACGGGCAACGCACTGGTGCTTCAAGCTCATGGTCCAGGTCAATCACATCCCCTCCATCACCCTGCACATCAAGCTCTGCATATCAAAGGCAGAGAAGGTCTGCAACATCAACGTCACACCAAATGGGGGTTCCCAGCTCATATGGCGAAAATTCGGCCCCGGAATGTGTAGTACGGGCCATTAACACTCTATCATGTTACAGTAAGCATAATGTGGGCATATGTCGCAAAAGAATGTGTCAAAAAGTGACTGAAAATGGAAGGGAGTTCCACAATATGCCAGCGCGTCCTGGGGTGCAAGTCAATGGTCCTGGTGCAATGTGGAAGGCCCACAACCATTCACATGCCCCAAAAGATTGGATGCACTTACTGGAAATGTGGTGGTGGAAGTGGTTGGATCACGGTGGTGGAAGTTTACAAGCAAGAGGTGTATCAATAGAGATTTGTGGGCAGGCAATTCTGTTCTTGTCATGGGACTGGTGCTGAATTCTATGGCATCAATTAGGTGGTGCCTAGTGGGCTATCTCAAGTATAGGGGATTAATTCCCCTGTTTTAACTGTTTCCTATCCTGCTGCTATCATTCTACCTGCAACTTGTCAATTAAGTCCATAATCAGTGCTGACAACATGGGGATACGAGATATTTGGCCTGTAAATATTCACTGAATACTCATTGAAGTCATAAACTCATGAACTCATTTCTTGCAGCTTATAAAACCCACTGCTACGACATCCAATTTGGCAGATTATGCATTGGAATATGGGTACACAAAGAAGCTTCAAGGTTCAGATGACATGATATTCCGCATAAGCATAGATGTGCCATGAGCATCACACCCAAGTCCATGGATTAATGCCAGTTGAAGTAATTCATTTATAGTGCACTATTCAGAAACTTTCGACATATCAATTCATCTGCTGTCCTACTTCAATTGTTCCATTTTTTGTGCCAGCTGTGCCATGTTCCTGTTGCTGATTTTGTCTTCATGTACAACCCTGTGCTCGGAGTTGACCTTGAAGCAGACTCTTTGGAATATGAACAGTCAAAACAATTAGTTCAATCATTCAACTATCATATTGACGTAGTATGTTCACATTATCCTGTGCTTTACTGAGATTGCATAACTAACTCAAGCTTGATATCTTATAGGCAAAGAGAGTGGTGAATGCTGAGTTGTCAGCCATGAATAAATTAGGGGTAATTGATGCAGTCCTCTGTCTCGAAGCGGCAGAGGCGGAGTGACTAGCGGAGCAGGAGAGCGGAGTGACTAAGCAAGGCAGTGAGGCGGAGCGACTAAGCGGAGCGGAGGCAAACTGGTCCCAGATAATGACAGAGATATATTGAGTATCGTAGTCATAGGTAGTAGTAAGTAAGCACGTACCTGGTCCCAGATAATGACAGAGAGGTCAAGATAAGGGACCAGGCTGTGGAGGGTTGGCTATATATACATAATCCGGTCTGCAAGAAACAACAATGTAATACTGTATAGTTCAGGGGCAAGGAAGGTGGCGGAAGCCAGTAGAAAGAGAAGATGGGTCAGGTGGATCAGTAATCAATGGGGGTTTGACAGTGATTGATGATGTATCGTACAGGTAAAGGCGTCGAGACAGTGAGAAAAGGAGAATGATAGGGGCTGCGTACTTTATGACATCCTCACCAATGATAGCCACGTATTCCCCTTGGGTGTGAAATGTGTTCTTTTAGTCAACAGGTAACGTACCATTGTTAAAAAGACTTGAATATGATCACAGTGATAATTGGGTACATAGCACCGCATCAACCCCCACAAATCTTGCAATTGATATATATTGTGCCGAGATTATAGAACAACTCGGGATACAGGAAGATGGGTTCATTCTGCTTGCCCTGCTCCTCGGAAGTGATTTCAATAAGGGAGTTCATGGTGTTAGCATGAAAACTGCAGTTGCACTAGCAAGACATGGATTCGGAAAAACTCTTCTTCATAATTCTCACAGGTTCCTGAGCTACTCAACAATTTTTTCATTCAACTCAATCATGAAATTGCTGATGAAATTGAGCTGAAAACCATCAAAAACTTGCATTGACAGAGCCCAAGGAGGGCACACAAGTTCCTTGATGCCAACTTTCCATCTGTTGATGCTTTGGAAGGCCTAAAAATATTCGCGGAACTTGTCACTCACCCTTCCCCTCTGACTCCGAGTTGCCCATTCACCCCGAAATGGCCTTATAATGTACCACACGTCTCGAATATAGCAGCATTTTGCACAACACACTTGTGTTGGAGCTCAGAATTTATATATCAGGAATTCCACGCAAAACTATACAGAGGAGTTATCATCTGTATGCTTTGCTCCATAAGTTACTGAGTTGTTTACATTGGCTCCACCCTGACATATCAACAGAAACATGTAGCTTACAATGTGCTAAATGGAGAACTGCTTGTTCCAGTCCTGCAAAGCTCCTTTAATTTTGACCATTTTGGAAGGCCTTTTGCCTTCACCTTCTCTACAACAATTATCGGAACAAATCCTCCTGCTCTTTGTGGTAAGAAAGTGTGCGACTCTGTCCGTGTTGAATTTAACATGTCCTTCTTTGATGTTGTTACTGGCACTGTCATTCTAAACCATGTACCACAGACTGTCGGGGTCACTATTCCTATTTTCATTCTTGCAAAGGCCACACGACAAATTGTAGATAGCTGAAAAACTATTTTATGTAAAGGTCTTACAACAAAAAAATATTATTATTTTTAAGATGCTCAGAACCTTGAGAACTGGAAAATGAAATTGACCTTTGACAGTGATAAACAGTTTGCTGAGGAGGACAAGCACCACTTTTCATGCAGACGAGATGTTGCACCTATCTTTAGTAGAGCCTGATTAGAAACAAGTGAGATATCTTCAAAACCCTTCGGGACCATGGACAATGACGAACACATCAAAAATTTTAGAGCAGAATCTGATCAGAGATGCATGAGATATAAGCATGATTCTTTAGCTCACCTGAGGCACACAGATGATAGTGACTCTGAAAGTATTTCATGGGTTTTGTGCGTCCTGCAATATGCAGCACCACAGCTTCTCCAACTGGGTATGAGGCCTGGTTCTAGCTGACAAAAAAAGGGCATCAATAGAGAAGGAGGATGGCTTGAAAAAGAGGATGGCTCGAAGGAGGAGAGAAAAGTTTAAAAGACATGGTGCAAGCTGGAGAACAAATACTCAAGGTCCATAAGCAGAAAGGGAGTAGCTCAGAGGAGGTTGGAGAGACACACTATGTGTCCAAGTAAGGAGTTTGTGATGTTCTGAGGGTGTCGTCCACCAAGTAGTGCTATGCAATCAACAAGGATCTGAACTTTACTGCATTGGAACCAGACGCGCCGCGCCATATTTCAGGCCGTACCCAGCTTTGAGGTGGGTAGTTCATTGCAGAAAGGAACAGACTGGCTTTGAAGACAGCAGTGGCTACTGTCACGAAGCGGCAGAGACGGAATGACTATCGGAGCAGGAAGTGGGGTGACTAAGCTAGGCAGTGAGGCGGAGCGACTAAGCAGGTCAGTGAGGCGGAGCGACTAAGCGGAGCGGAGGCGAACTGGTCCCAGATAATGACAGAAAGGTCAAGATAAGGGACCAGGCTGTGGAGGGTTGGCTATATATACATAATCTGGTTTGCGAGAAACAACAATGTAATACTGTACAGTTCAGGGGCAAGGAAGGTGGCGGAAGCCAGTAGAAAGAGAAGATGGGTCAGGTGGATCAGTAATCGATGGGGGTTTGACAGTGATGGGATGATGTATCGTACAAGTAAAGGTGTCGAGATGGTGAGAAAAGGAAAATGATAGGGGCTGGGTACTTTATGACAGCTACTGGTGGTGTAGAGGAAGAATAAGCTTATGTCATGACCATGGTGACCATGGTGTTCCCTCGCATGAAATGTCAAATTGTCTTTTTTTTCTACCACCAGCACTTTGTGCTTTTTCTGGCTGGGAGAATCTACCAGATTTTACACAAAACACAAAACATAAAGGTTGAAACAGAGTGAGAAAGACAGTTCGTGCCTAAGTACATGTTGTATACATACAACTGGCACTGACCAAATCAACCGAAAGACATCGTGTTTTGTCACTGTAGGTCCCCGAGCAGTAATCAATGAACAGGTGTTGGTCCTTCTCAAAGAACACTGCACACCTACTATTGCTCCTCGTTGCTCTTGACTTGCCTCTGGTGCTGTTCACTCCCCTTTTTGCTTTTGTTACTGCTTTACTTGCTCTGTGACTCTCTACTCTCTACTATTTCATATTACTGCTACACTACGTACACATGGCAGCATCATCTTGGTGGATACCAAACATTCTGTGAGTTTTTCACTTGTCTCCTTCCCATTCAAGTCTTCCGTCTAAAGGATGCACGGGGGGAAGCAGATTAATTTGCTCCCATTGCCCTCAATTAATCTGCTCCCATTGCCCTTGATTTCCCGTTCGACATCGGATGGTGCTGAATCCGACGGCGGGTTGTGTCGGTGGTCAGCTGATGGGTCACTCATATTATATATGTGAGATCAGTAACTGGAGCCACTGATGTGACCGTTTTGTCTTTTCCTTCATTCTCAATTGCACTTCTTCCGTATACTGAATGCGCCAGAACTCAGCCTCGGCCACCAGTTTCAAGTCAATGTGAAGGAAGAGTTTGATTCCCTTGCCGCGGATCAGACTCTTCATTTTCTTCACTCCTTTGATCTTGTAACATTTCTCCTTGATTGCATTGACATCTGGAATTCGGGGAAGTATCTCCGCATGTAGGTTATTGTTAGATAGTAGAAGGTGAATATTCTGAGAGAATTTGAGCCACATTGGAAGTAAGTATGTATATAGGATATAATGAAGGTCATGGCTCCCAACACGAACATTAAGGTGCGGAATCACAGCAGTCACATCCTGAAAAAATTTGATTAGTTTGTCAGTCCATAGTGTACACATGTGAACAGGTGCATACCCCGACGGCCTTGAATTTACCACCCTATGGGTACAACATATTGGTCGCCAAGGTCACTAACTCAGTGTTGCCAGCGGACATCAAACATTGATAAAAGAACTGCTGGCATTGCTTGTACAGGTCATGTGCCTCACTTTAACCTGTACATCCACCTATGCGAGATCGTAGGTGTTCAGGGAATGGTATTCGCATGGCAGATGGAACATTAGCTGGAGGAGGCATAGACTTGCACCCGGAAACAGCCTTTATAACTCTCTGACCCTCAAATTCTAAACCATATGAGAATGATGATAAATGAATGATGAAAACTGAACCATACCTCCTCGCTGAGCTCTATTAACATTATGCTGGATATCTCCGTTCAAACTCCCAACTTGAACACTTCCAACAGAAGAACCGTCTGAAATACTTGAGTAATTGAATATCACCTCCAGCCTAAGGATAGACATACTTGCAGATACCACTGTCTGTTCCTTCTTCTTGTTCAAATAGTGTTGAAAGCAACCTTGGCAGACCCGTCGACTGGTACCATTCCGAGTTGGTTTGACAGAGTGGTGCTTGCCTACTATAGGGCACTCTTTGCATCATTCACAGGCCGCGGCTTGTGCATTTGTCTCTGAGGCCACGAAGGCTGAACTCTCAGCCATGCCACACAAAGGGACCGGAAGAAGAGACAGCGGTAAACCAAACACCATTTATGGGAGTTCTTGAAACGTCTCTTACATTCCACTTCGAAAAAAAGATAATTACTATAATTTGATAACAAAATCTAGGCAGCACTCCAACCGTCAACCAGTCGGATCAACTAAAAATATTAGCACGGCACGTCAAGATTTGATAAGCGAGGTAACTAACTCTCGATTGCAGTAATTGAGTATAGGGTATATATTGGTGTGCTATGTAACTTTGCCTGGCCATTACCTGGGCACACAACATGACTTGGGCTCATGCAAAACTAGCTCATGCAAAATCAGCTGGAGAAATACCAACAACAACATCAACAACGACGCTGCAGTCAAACGGACAAATGAACGACGATTTGGTGGCTTCAAACATTTGAGTTGTTGATCATTACCCATTGGAATGAACAAACGTACAGTGAACATACAACAACATTACAACAAATGTAGAAGGAAACTACGGATATAATAGAAGTGGGGAAATCTTCCGAAGGATTCCTTCTCAACTGTCAGATTGTGATCATGCAGGTTCTGGGATGTCGGATAATCACCATTTCTCCACCACCACCACCACCGAATCATCCTCTACCCTCACCTTTATGACCGCCTTGATGCTTACCACCCCCTACTCGACTAAACTCACCGCCTCTCTCACCTCCCCAATTGACAAATTCCCTCCCTCCTCCTCCGATATCTGGGATTCTGACAATGACAATGGATGGCAGGACATGCCGGTCATGAATATGGACGAGCTTCGAGGGACACTCACAACACTCACCACCTCAACCGCCTCCAAATCTGCCTCCTCCCCACATGACAAATTCCCTCCCTCTTCCTCCAACATCTGGGATTTCGACAACGACGATGGATGGCAGGACATGCTGATGGTGCATACAGACAAGTGAGAGCTGAGAGGGTTGGACGAGGAAGACTGGAGGAAGTATCTTTATTGGGTTAGTGAGAGTGGGAGTAGTAAAGTGGGGAGAGAAGGGAGCATGAGTGAAGTAGGAGGGAATGCAATGAGTACGGTGTTGGATATGGATGAATACGGGTACCGTGATCCGATGCAGTCCCTGACGAAGAACACATGGATGGCATAACATTCTTTCACCAGTAGATGGGAAGTGAAGATCCTCCTGTCCCCAAACACATCACCCTTGACATGTGATACACCCTCCCAACCAACCACTTGTGTACGACTCCTGTTCCCGGTCTCTCCTCTTCCACATCGGCTCCCACCTCTCCCTCTCCTGGTGGGCATTGTCATTTTCAAAGGCTGTATTGTTGAAGCCATTGGCGCAGGTGAAGGCATTGGTGAATCCAGGGGCAGATTCCAGAACAGCTCCACCGCAGTCTTGGACCAAGTCCTCCGCCTCTGTTAAGATCATGTACACCATGTAACCATGCCAGAGGCCACAAAATGTCTAAGGGTGGAGAGTCGAATGGGACAGTAGTGAAGTTATTAACAACACCGCCATTACGCCGCTAGTCCCTAGAGATCGAGAGTAGAGAAGAGAGGAGCCAGGAGCAGCCAAGTCGGATTGGCAGTATTGCCGATGACGAGGAGCGAGCCAAAGAACTTATAAGTCCTAAGGCTAGAGTAAGAAGTACATTGCGGTTTAAGCGAGCTTCTCACTAACTCACTTCCCTTTCTCTACCTCAACTACATCCAGAACCTCCGCTGTAATATTCCTTCAATATTGCTCCTTATTCTTGTTCCGGACTGTGAAACACGCAATACTCATAACGCGCAACACTCACCTCCCAGCAATCCTACATAAATTCACATCTATAACTCCAACGAGACTTGGAATCCATAATCAGTCCCATTTGGGAAGAAAATATTTGTGAGATGGGCTAATATAATCCTCGCAACTTGATGTGCAAATCAGAGACCCCAGGCACAGAGCAATGGGATGAACAGTGTGGAGTTGCAAATGGTGGATACTTCTAGAGATGGAGGAGGGGAAGTGGAAGGTAGGAATGAGGGTAAGTGTATTTTAAATACACCACTGGGTCCACTGCCATTGATAATTGTAGTTGTCGAAGAGGAGCTGAGCTCAGGATGACTGAGCCACGCCACCTGTATTCTAGCAGAGAACAAAAATGGTAGTAGCAGGAGAAGGGGTTTCATTGTTGATTCCCCCGAAGCACGCATTGCAGTACGAACATAAGTGTAACTGCTGAGGATGTTGAACTCTAATATAAACACGCCCAATACCATGAAAGAGATGTTTAGGCCCATGTTGGGGATGGTATTTGTGATTATGGGGATATGGGAGAGGTGGAGGAAGTCAAGAATGGGGGTGTACCAGAAGGCTGGGGACAAAACAATGGGTGGGGAAGGGAGGAATAGAGATGAGAAAAATATGTACTGTAGACATGGGTGATCATGTAGATAACAACAAGGATTAGAATTCCTTCTATGGGTCCGGAGAAGACCCCAAGGTATCGGAAACCTACAACAAAGTTAACGTTTAGCAATAAGCTAGAGAGGTAAGGCAAGCAAATGATGTGAAAGTGATGAAACGAGCAAATAAGAATCACAATAAAGGATAAGATATGTACTGGTACAATACTCCTCCCATGTCGTCAGATAGAAATTGGCCAGTGTAGCTACTTAAGATGCTAATGTCCACAACAAACGGGTGATATTCAGAGCCTGAGAGAAGAGGATTGCTTCAAGCTATGTGGAGTCACTGATGAGAGGAGGAAGACAAACTGGTTAAGGTGCTTCCAGTTTTGCAGATCATTTCAGGATCACAGAGACAGAGTGGACATCAAGGACGAAGAGGGGAGACTGGATTTGTCAGGGGGGGTCACCATTGAGGAATCTGAGCTGAGGATGAAGAGGGAAAGGAGGAGAAGGACCACAATAGGGGAGTAATTCATTGTTGTGTCAACCTTCCAAGGCATCTGCTCTCTACAGCTACCACGTTCTATAGAGACTTGAAAAAGACATATAGGAAAGCACTTCAGGGAACTATTTCCTTATATAGCTACCAGGACCCAGAATCCTGGCTGGGACATGTTGCATGACCCAATGACATTTGTCCATTTTCAATTACAATCAAACTTTAATTTCAGAGCTTATAAAAGATGACAGTGATTTGATGAAGCCCATCATTCCTTCTTACTTGACTACCACCATTGTCCATTGCAAGAGCTCACTAACAGTCAGTATGTTCAATTTCTTTAGTTTTGAATCTTTTGGACTTATGTGTTCCTTCCAGGGAAATGGATACTGGGTATAACTGTCTCGGGAAACCATTCTTACTATAACTGACATTTTGATTAGCACTGGCAGCATGTTTTACCAAGCAAAGAATTTTGCCATCTATGGCGGAAATTTCACAGCCGTTGGTAAGTCATGAAAATTCTGACCATTCACATAAACTAAATACATTAATCCCCTAGGAGGTGATGACATCAATAAGATACACAAATGGCTCAATGCACCAGATTGTTCAGTCAATTTTGCAACTGCAGTAAACAACCAATGCTCAGGCACTGGCCAATGGATATTTGAACTTGATACATACAAGGAATGGATATCTAACCATGGCATTCTGTGGATTCAAGGACCAGGTTTGACTATGCTCTTGAAGGAAGGAATGTTTTCACTCATCAGAAACTATAGCTGGATCAGGAAAAACCTTTCTGATGTATGTCATGACAATAATCACAACTCACTTTCATTAATTAAGGACATTCTAGTACAACAATCACTGAAAACCTGCAAAACATGAAACAAAAAAGTCCTGTCTGGTATCATTATTTTGATATCCGGGATAACACAGAGTTGAAGACCACATATCATGGGTTCTTGCAATTTCTGGTTCAGCAAATGGGACTAGAAGGTCAAGAAATTCACCCTGCTCTCAGCACACTTTACAAGTCAAAGCCATTGGAGCAACTCACACACAGGGAGCTGGAGAAAATATTGGAAACAATGATCAAAGATAGAAATGATATGACCATAAAGGATACATTGAACAAAGGTGCTCAGGGAATGTGAGTAATATTTGTTGAGAATCAACTTGAAAGTCTGCTGACTTGAAACAATGTCTTAGATTTCACTGGGTTGACTGCCAAATGATGGTGTTGCAGAAATGCAGGAGGAAGAGGGATGTAAAAGAAGCTTTGAAGACATTACCTGCAACTCTCACAGAAACATATGACCAGGCTTTAGGAAGGTTGACAGAAGAAGAAAAAAAAGATGTACAACATCTACTTCTGTGGCTTCTCTATGCTTTTGAGCCATTGACCAGGAGAAAAGCAAATGAAATATGGAAAATTGACCTGTTGAAGCAAAAGTTTGATCCAAATGAAATGGACCTTCAGGTGGAGGATGTTATTCCCTCTACATTTGTAACTGTACAACAGGATGATATCATTCAACTTGCCCATGCATCAGTCAAGGAATATCTGATTTCTTATCGACAATCCAAAGAGATCAGGAACTCATTGTCATTCAATGAGCACTTAGCACATGATATAATGACTCAAACAACCATCATCTACCTCATGCAATATGAGGAGGCTTCATTTGATTGGGATGGTTTGGGGGCTTATGCAGTCAACTATTGGCTCCTACATGCATCAATGGTGGAGGAGTTCAAAGTAGAAGATCGAAGTCAAAATCTGATATGTGCAATTTTGAAAGACAATGTACAGTTTTCAAAATGGTGGGAAATTTGCAGCAACTATATTTATCCTACAAGCAGTCACAATGCTCTCCAGGTAGCCACAGTGTATGGGCATGGGCACATTGTGCAGTTACTGCTGGAACATGATGCTAATGTCAATGCACAAGGGGGAGAATATGGGAGTGCTCTCTATTTAATTTCATTGAGGGGATATGAATGCATTGTGAAGTTGCTGCTGGAACATGATGTAGACGTGAATGCACATGCACGGGAGGAAGAATATGGGAATGCTCTCCAGGCAGCCTCATATAAGGGTCATGAATCTATTGTGAAGTTGCTGCTGGAACATAATGCTGATGTGAATGCACAAGGGGGGAAGTTTGGCAATGCTCTTCAGGCAGCCTCTTTAAAGGGGCATGAGCCCATTGTGAAGTTGCTGCTGGAACATAATGCTGATGTGAATGCACAAGGGGGGAAATATGGGAATGCTCTCCAGGCAGCCTCCTATTATGGCCATAAGCCCATTCTGAAGTTGCTGCTGGAAAATGGTGCACTCTGTTAACAAACAATAAAGCCCCCTCATGTTTTAAACTGTATAACATTCTTATAATTGATATTTTCATGACATATAAAGAAATCCTGGTTTGCTTATGTTCCTTTCTTCAATTTTTGTTTCATACTTTTTACATGTTTGCCATTTGTGTTGCTATTAATACCTTTGACCATTTGTAACCTTCTGTGTACACAATAAATTGAGGTCATCATCATTTACAAAAAATGCTTCCTGAACACATGAACTTGGAAGGAATTTATTCAAATTAAATTTTTTTTATAGGTCCAAATATGAAATTGAGATTCAAGGGAAGTGGGAAGTGGGAAGAATCCATATTGTACTTAGAGGGCCTATTGTGAACCTTCTCTTTGTGTACAGATTGTGTAACCCAGAGCACAGGACACTACCAAGCACCACCAAATAGGTAGCAGAGGCAAAAAGCATCTGCCATGACTGGCGCCATAGTGGCCATTGGCTGAGCTCTTTGAGTGAGTCCAAGACACAGTCCAATCTGATCCTACAGTGCTCAAGAACAAGATCCAGCAGTGGTTCAAAGAATGAATATTACTAAAGTAATATTTAGATTTTCAAGAATTATTGCACAATGAGTGCCTATTTATCAATTTATTCTCCTCCCACTCATTCATCTTACCCATCCATCTGGAGCTTTTGCTTTAAATCATACCTACATATACCTCATGCAATGATTTGCAAGGAGAAATAATGAACACCTTGCAGCTGGCCACTAAACTCATAAACTTGCAGTAAACTATATAAGACATGGCACTTTATTCAATACTGTTTGATGTCCCATGGCAAACTTCAATACAACCCAGGTTTGGGTTTGGGACGTTGGACAACCACTGCCTTTCCACCTCTTTCCACCTCCTTCATTCTCCCCTTCTTGTCCTCTGAGTCCCCAATTAACAAATTCCCCCCTCTTTCAACATCTGGGATTCAGATGACAACAATGATGCCAGATGGTACATCTACAAAACCTGTATTTTTGGGAAAGGGTCCGAAAGCAGCTGGGAGCACTTCCCAGCAGTAAAAGCACTCAGAGCATACTGCTTTCAGTGCTTTCAGCACTGGGGTCTGCTCTCAGACCTTAGCTGAATATCCAGGTTTTGCAGATGTTGTTGTTGTCACTCAGAGTCATGCCTATTGTGATCTTCACTCCTGTGAGGCCTCTTGTCTTGTCCTCCATCATACCTGCTCTCAACACCTTTGGGGACTGTGGGCAGGTGTTTATTTTAAGCCTCTAGTAGACCTCATACCCAGGTCAAGAGGAATAAGATGAATGTATTCATATTCATATTTCCTGCAGGAAATCCTCACTTGAATGTATATATCTTCTCTATATATACTTACACAGACCCAAACCATAAGAGGCTCTACTTACATATTATCTCCGCAGTGCATAGTGTCTGCATCTGTACTAGAAATAAAACCGCAAAACCTTTGAGAATATGTTGAATGAGAATCCTGGGGTGCCTGTGTGACTAAAAGCAATGCGGTGCAATGTGAAGACTCAGAGATCATTAATTCATTGGTAAGGTTTAAGTTTGAGTTCAGTGTTGTTGTTGTTGTGGCTGTTAATGAAATGTGTATGTATTTTCAGATGCCTAGTGATTTTTCTATAGCTATACATCCCTGATTTACCATATGAAAGATTTATCATTCATCTTTGTCATACAATTATTCACCCTTACTGTCACCCTCACCTCGTCAAGGTGTATCATCCCCACAGATTCCCCATATCCTCCCCTCTCCTCGAACTTGACAACAGAACTGCCATCCACGAATCAGGTAACCTAATACTAGCACTCACAGTAATCTGACTCCCATCCGCACTCCTGAATGTAAGACCCATCATTGTTGTCATCAAGTGACCAAAGTCAGGTGGGGATGAGGTGAAGGTGAAGTGGTAGCAGTGAAGCCAGTTGAGGATGAAGCAGTAGGGGTAGTAGCAGTAGGAGTAGAGAAACCACCAGGAGTCAAAGTAGTAGTAGGAGTAGTAGCAAAAGGGTTATAGGATAACAATACCAAGGATGCATTGTTGTTGTTGTTGTTGTATGGCAATGTCATTGGTGGAAATGAGAAATACCCAACGCCGGGTGATTTTGAGGGCGGTGTGTGTTGAGCAGGCAAGGGGTGCATAGTGGGAACACTCTCCAGCACCATACCTGGTAGTAGAGCTTAGTGTCTCAGTGAGGCAATAAAAGTAAGAGAGAAGCGAGTTGGATTCCAGTACAGAACATAGCTACTTATATACATAAATGCATGACAGTATTACATAAGGAAGTACTGAGGAATCCGCATATGGTATATGATGTCATGGTATACTAAGCATAGACTAAGATAACACATGACCGTATTAGTGATATGTGAACAGCATAGCCGCGTTCAACAGTGTGGGTGGGAGAGGGAGAGACACTGACAACACTGACAATGATGATAGGGGTCTGAATTCTACAATTTCTTCTTGTTCTTCTTGTTCTATTCCTTGTGTTCCTTCTTTGTTATCCAGTCTTATTCTAGGTGCCTCAACAGCAGGAACAATCCTGTCCATGCCCTTCATCTGCAGACCCTCCAACTCAGCCAGCTCAGCTTTTATTGCAGCGAAATCAAACCCAACAGTTTTGGGGAGGGGGGATGCAATGTGGTCGGAGCTTAGAGGGGGGAGGATTGTTGTTGTGGCAGAGGAGGTGGTGGAGTTTAAGTTTGGAGTGGGAGTTGGAGTGGGTGTGGAGGAATGTGTAAGACCAGGGTAAGAAATGGTCTTAAGGGTGGGTTTGGTATAAGAAGTTTATGTTGTAGCATGCGGAGCTCAAAGGGAGCTATGGGAACTGCAACCGAGGACAGGAATGACCTAGTAATAGTTCTGGTTGTGAGATGTGACCCTTGAAGGGGTTCCTAGGAGGTCCAGGGAGGTCCCTAGGACAATAACAGAGGAAGGTAGAGGTAACCGGAACTAGAAAACGTCGGAACATTGTGTAGTACAGACTGTAGTAGCTAGGAACATCAATGTAGGATTGTTATAGCTAGTAGATGAAGGGAGGTTCAGACATGAGAGCTCCTGATAGAGTATGAGCCCAGGAAAGAGGTCCCGGGGGATGGAGGTGATGGCTGACGTCCCTAATCAGTGGAGGTGGTAACGGAGGAGCGGCACTTGGTTGACTACGAGGGGAAGCTCCGACATTACCTAGATCAAGGTCCCAGAGCTCTTGGAGCAGTTAAGGAGCTTGAGGAGAATTGGGGGAGGTTGGCTTGCCACAACAATAGACGTTTGGGGAGCTTTTAGTATTGGTTGAGGGAGGTCAAAGACTCACTTGGATTGCTTAGATGTGTAGTAAAAGCATATATTTTATGCGAGATCTCGATACTGTTGCTTCAGTTGGAGGTTGGCTAGTGTTCCGTGGTTCATGGGAGGTTTGTAGGAGGTTATTTAGGAGGAGCAGAGGAACTGACGTGCTTGTGAAGCAGTTCTGGGAGGTTTAGGAGGTTTAAGAAAGGGAGTTTTAGGGACAGGGCATGACAGAATGTGAATCAGAGCTGAGGATGGGTGTAGACGAAGCCATACATGTAGGTAGTAGACGAAGCCATACATGTAGGTAGAGATGGTGTATCCCTCTCTTCCCTCGGTGGAAGCACTTCATTGGCTTTCTCCTTCCCTTCCTTCCCCACCCAGCTCACATAACTTGGTGGCCACTGCACACCTGCCACGCTCTGCCTCTGCTCTGCTTCCTTCTGGGCTGCAGTTTTTGCTTTTCAGTGGGCAAACCATGAGAGGTTGGTGTTGGTGTCAGGAGAAGTGGACAATGTGGAGTGGGACTTCGGCCATATGCTTTTGTTGACTCTGACCATGCTGGCTGCAATGACACTTACTGTCATGCCCTGGCTACAACCAGGACAGTCCCAGTACCAGCCACATGTTCTCACACTTCCAATCCATCTTGGTACCTCCCCAAGACAGTACCAGCATTCCCCTGTTGCCCATTAAACCAAACATCCTGATGACTTCCCCAACACGCATAAGAAACCCTCCTACCATCATCTCCATTAAGTACTAATCTCGATTACCTGCCTCATGTTCTCTGGACCCCCTGATGTTTCCTTGTTCACTTCCTGTACCTATTTAAGTAACTCCGCAACGTCCCCAAGCCCCAGCTTGGTATATTTTGAACATACACCCTTTTGCATAGGTCCAGTCCCTGTCCCTTTGTACCTGCTAACCATACAGATTTCTCTTTATTCTCTGTTTTCCTATCTCAGTTTCTCTCTACTCTCGTCTGTTGTCTCTACAATTGTTTATACAATCCAATATACGCTTTTACTCCACGTCTAAGCAATCCAAGTGAGTCTCCGAGCTCCCTTGAACAATACTAAAGCTCCCCAATGCCTAAACGCCTTAGTGAGCTAACCTCCCCCAAACCTCCTCGAGCTCCCCAACTGCTCCACAAGCTTCGGGACCTTGATCTAGGTAACGTCGAAGCTATCTCCTATGTCGAACTATGTACTGCTTCTCCGTTACCACCTCCCACACTTGAGGACATCCACCCTCAAGCCCAGTTCCCGGGACCTCCCCTCCCAGGCGTATATCTTCTCAGGAGCTTACACACTCGAGACCCACTTCAACTACGACCTATTCGATCTTACATTGACATTCTAGCGAGTACAACTCCTACTATGCAACACTACTAGGTTCCGCACTTCTACCTCCCCTCCCTAAGCCTTAGGGACCTTCCTGGACCTTATAGGAACCCCTTCAAGGGTCACATCTCTCCATCCCAGCCACTACTAGGTCATTCCTGTCCTTAGTCGCGGTTTCCGTAGCTCCCTTTGAGCTCCAGCCTCCTAGCATGCTACAACGTAAACTCACTATACTAACACCTACCCTAAGACCAATTCTGACCCAGGTCTTACATTATACCAAGCTCTCCCGTCACCGAACGGACTCGTCGCAACAAAATGTCTGCGACATCAATGGAACGACCTTC